TTGCAATTCCCAGAGTTTGTGGGTTTATTGGAATCTGTACCCAAGGGTCAGAGGGGACAGAGACCCTTGGGGCTGAGCTGGGATCACCACCCTGTGTTTCCTGAGTCCTGCTTGTTTAAAGGGACAAAAAAGGGGGGGATTTTTGTAACTCCCACCCCAGGAACTTGCAGGGAAGTGAGGGAGGGGTGTCTCTCCCTGCCCAGGGGCCTGGGAATCCCAAAGCCTGGGGATCCCATGCAGGGTTCCCAGCAGCTCCCTGTGGGGGCTGGATGGATCCACACAGGGGGTGTCACCCCCTGTGCCCCCCAACACCCCTCATGGCCTGGGCATGGAGGAATATGGAGCCGTGACCCAGATTGGGGAAATGATCCGGATTACAGGCACATCCCCAGGGAGGAGCAGGGTGGATGGAGCCAGGCCCGGGGCAGGCACCAGGGCTGCTCTGGGGGCACCTCCCTGCCCCTGCCCTGGCACTGCCCGTGCCCCTGAGCACTGGCAAACTCCCCACAGCAGTGATCCCTGTGCCCTCCCCGTGCCGTGACAGAAATCCCTGTTCCCCAGTGCCAGGGAACTTGGGGATGGAATAAACACGGATCCCAATGGAGGGTGAGGAGAGAGACGTGGGTGGGGCAGCTCAGAGGTACTGCTGCTAATTACTGACTGCAATTAGGGCCGGAGTGGTGCCCTCCTGGCTGCTCTGGGGAAGGGTTGGACCATGTGCCCATGTCCCAGACCCTGGCAGAGCTGGAAGATGGGTTGGGGAAAGCATCTGCCTGCTCCCAGGGGCTGGAACACACCTGGGGGGGCTGGAACACACCTGGGGGGGCTGGAACTCACCATGGGGGGCTGGAAACCACCTGAGAACCATGGGAGGCTGGAATGCACCATGAGGGTCTGGCACCCACTGTGGGGGCACTGGCACCCGCCCTGGGGGGCTGCAATACACTGTTGGGGGCTGCAACCCAGCATGGGGGGCTGGAACCCACTGTGGGGATCTGGAACCCGCTGGAGTGGGCTGGAACCCACTGAGGGGGGCTGGAACCA